GATCGCATTGCGGCGCTTCTGCTCGGACATGATGTGGTTCAGCCGCTTCTGCGGCGTGGAGAGGAGCGGCTTCACTCGCGGAGGGGCGTTGGGGTCCTGGGACGCGGGAGACGAGGAGGACGAGGGCGAGCGGCTGCGTGTGCGTGCGCGGGGCTTCGTGTCGACGGGCTCGGGGTGCTGGGGCTGGTGTGAGAACGGCGGGGGGTCTTGGTACATGGGCATGGGGGCAGGAAGGGGTGCTGGGTGCTGCTGGGGCTGGTGCTGAGGCTCGGGCTGCGAGCTAAAGAGATTCGACGACGGCGGGAGCCCTGGAGGGGCTGTCTCCTGCAGCGGGTGCTGGTAGAGTGGATCTGAAGGGAGGTCTGGTAGCTGGGGCACACCGTCTAGACTGAACTCCCAGTCGAAGTTGTCGAGGAAGCCGAAGAGGTCCGTGGTCTCCGACGCAGAAAAAAGCTCGTTTGAGGGCGGAAGGGGCGGCGGGGGTGGAAGGAGGCCATTTGCAGGGTTGAAGAACGGGAAATCGTCGAAGGCGACCGGCGGGAGGAGGGGCGCGTCCGAGTCGGCGGGCTGGTGTGAAGCGGACATGGTCGTCCGAGAGAGAGCCCGGGGAAGCCGGTGGAGTGCTAAAGTGTGACCGTGACCGGTGACCGGTGAGTCGGAGCGGGGCGGGGAGCCCGGGCGGGCGGTCGGCAGGAGCCGGCGCGCTGGGGAGGGGTGGAAGAAAAGCGGGCCCTGCGGGGGGATATAGGTTGGATATATCCCGTACGCTCCGAATCCCCGCCCATCACCTCCATGTCGGCCCTCTCAGAGGCCTCCACGCCGGCCCAGGACGCGGCCGCTCCGTCGATCGACAACCAACAGCTGCAGCAGCACGGCGGCCAGCTCCCCGCCGACCTCCAGGGGGGCGTCCCCGGCTCGTCCTCCGCCCAGAACGCCGACGGTAGCCGCAAGCGTGCGTTCGCTCGCCCTTTCCTCCCGCCGTCGCCCGTCCTGACCTCCTCCGTGCCAGCGAAGGCGCCCTCGGTACGCAGGGCTTGCACCGCCTGCCACGCCGGCAAAACGAGATGCAGCGAGGTCCTCCCTTGCCAGGTTAGTCCCCGCTCGCCGCCTCCGCCGCCGCCGTCCCCGCCGTCCCCGACCCTCCCTCTGACGGTTTGGGCCATGTAGAGCTGTCTGAAAAGAGGCCTCGGCAACTCCTGCGCCTACCCCGACCCAGACGCCGATAGCCACCAGAACCAAGCACAACCCCGTATGTTCCTCCCTCAATCTCCCACACCCGCCGCCCTCTCAACCCCTCCCTCCTCCGCAGCCCAGGTGCCCCCCTTCGCCGCTGCCATGCAGTACCCGCCCCCCATGCAGGGCCTCGCCCACCCCCACTACTTCGACTACAACAACACCTTCTCCGCCGCCCCCGCCGCCCCCAGTGCTGCTGCACCTCCGCCCTCTGCCCCGCCCTCGACCTCGACCTCGACCTTCCGCCCCAGCAAGCGGCCGCGCCCGCTCACCGAGGAGGAGACCGCCGCCATCACGCGCAACTTCACGCGCGGCGACTTTTTCGTCGGCTCCAGCGCCCCCGTGCGCATCGACCCCCGCCTCCCGGTGCGCCTCACGCTCGCCGAGGGCGACCAGGTCCACTTCTCGATCGGAGAGGCGATTGTCTGATCCCAGGTTCCCTCTGTCTGTGCTTCGTACGTGTACAAGAGATGGACTTTGCAGTCTGTATTGTTTTCGAATAGCTATCTCTGGTATGCCTGCTTCCCCTACTATGTATGTACTACGTTCTTCTCTGCCCCTCTGCCTGTTCCTGAATGATCACCCTATAGCTTAGCTTTCATATGCAGAAGAGTGATCTTGTCTGTATGCGGTCAGGTCAACTGTGTATATATATGTAGGCCTGACGCTCACTCTCGACCAGTATACGCCGGATCAGGTTTATCTGGGTCAATATCAGGCATGTGCCTGAGCAGTCCGGATGCGGAGTTTCGTTCACGATCAAACTCTGAATTCGACACTCGTAGTCGTACTTATCGACGACCAGAATAACCGGTGTGTGAGATCACGCCTCACTCACATGCACACCCAGCTTCGTCGGCGCATCGTGCTCCCACCAGGAGTCAAGGACGCATATTTCGATCGCATACACGCGAGGGAAACGTGCCAGGCTTCCGACGGCTCGAATCTATCAAAACCAGTCGAGGTTCCTCCACCCCTCACAATCGTAGGTCTTGACGAGCCATTGCCAGGTTCGCCACGATGAACCGCGTCGAAGCAGACACGCAGACACGCAAAGCGCGAGCGTTGAAACGTTGAAGAGTCTGTGACTTGAGACGACAAGACATCAGTCCCACGAGCCGTCGAGGCGTCATCCTCGCAACAAAAATAGACCTCGACGCGCCGACTGCGAGAACCCGGCCACAAGACAGGAGGCGTAGCATCGACTCATTCGTTGCACCTCGGTGGCACGATGTGCACGTCCGCATGGTAGCGGCGCAATGCAGGGATCGCACGCTGTGGAGATGAGTGCACTCAGCGTGCTGCAGACACCGCAGAAACCTACGAATGGTGCGTAATACGTACCTACCCTCCGGGATCGCCCTGGTGGTCGACACCTGGCTGAGGGTCTGTGATTTGTCTAGATACCGCCAGCATGACGGGCTAACGGTGAATCGCTCTATGCTCAGATCCGGTGCGCGCGACAAGTCCCAGCAAATCCTCCTGAGATGTCTGTGAGTCCATTCGCACATCAGAAGACACTGTGTCAATCCACGGAGAGAAGTGAGTGCAGATACTCATACATCGTTATGTACTAATTTGCTCTCGCACTGGGTTGTGGGCTTCACCAACATCCCAACGGTACTCGTATATTTCGCCGGCTCTGCTTGGTGGACATCGAAGCAGGGTATCTCGCCTTCTCCACATCACAGTCCAGTGGGCAGGCCATTGATCGGGTTGTACAATAGCTTGGTTCGCTAGTATTTTACTAACAGTAGTGAGCCTGGGAGACATCGCAGTGGCACGTCCTCCGATCACCCCTCCGTTAAATTGACTCCATAACTTTCTTCTTCAGGGATGTGACATGCCACGTCACGCTCGTCAAACCACCTTTGGCCCAGCACTCGAATACTCACTCTCTCGGACAGCGTTAGCGAAACCCCCGCACTCCTCCTAACCCTCGCACTCCGCATGCACCCAGTCTCTGTGATTCATGGTGATCTTGTATCTGCTTTGCTCAGTTACCGACTGGTCCTTTCCTTCAGCGCCTCCCGTTACGTTGGAGTGTACAGGATCACAGCCTCGGCAACTCGTATTCATCAATCGCGGGAAATTGAACTGCGAGGACAAATTCGAGGGCGAAAACTTGTCCGGTGAAGATATACATATGTAGGCCGCGGGCGCACGCGCCGGCGCGAAATGCGTCCAATCATGACGCGCACGACCAGCAAGAGTCACTACTGAGCGGCGTCGCAATGCATCACGAGTAAATTGCACTGGGTGCGTTCGACTTGAGCGTTGATTGCGTCTGCACGTTGGCATGCGATGCTTTGCGCCCGACGTCATGCAGACCTGCAGCTTCACGACTCATAGAGAAAACTTTATGTAAAGAAAGTTCAGGTGATCAGGTGAGCACAAGATACGCAGAGCTTGTGGTTCATCGAACTGACACCGTCTGTGCTAGGTTGCGAGCTGATGATGTGTGGTTACGGATACGCACAGACTACCATCTACTAGCGCATACAGCGGTGGTGCCACCCTCCGAACAGGTTCAGGCGGGATATCCTGCTACCCCGTTCGCTGAGGCTTCCCACAGAGTCCACAGCCGTGTGCGCTGGGGCGATGGTAGCGATGTCGTTGATATCCTAGCGGCGTACGCGACTCAGTGGATGCGGTGTAGACGATCTCTGGGTCTCCCATTTCATATGCACGACCGGTGTCGCCGCCGCCAAGACCCTACTAGCCTTAGGCACCCAGGGGCGTCCCATAGTCGAGGAGTATATAGGGCGCGGGTGCAAGTCCACAGCTGCCCAAACTTCGCCTTCGCCGTCCCTCTTTTGACTGTTCGCTGCTCGGCTCCCTTTTGTCCGGCTCCGCATTCTCCCCAGCCAGCAGCTCCACTATGTTCGCCAACGTCAAGATCTTCGCCTTTTATTTCCTTGCCCTCTTCGTGCTCGTTGCACACGCGACGGTGATCGACCAGGAGAAGCGCGGTGAGTGACCCGATCCATCTCCGAACGCATCCTCATAGCATCGTGCTCATCGTTTCGTCATTTCACTCCCCAGACTTCAGTATGTACCGCGGCCTCTTCAGCAGGTCCAGTACCGGCGCACTAACACGACCACAGTCGGCGATCTCACCGCAGGCGCAGGCTCCATCTTCGGCGACGTGAAGACCGTCGTAGAGTGTCAGTCTCCTCGTGCTCAACCCCTCAGGTCCTACTGACTCCGCGATCGTGCAGCTGTCGGCGGGGAAGCCGTCACCGTCATCACCGGGGCTGGCGGCCAGGCCTTCACGCTCGCCTCCGAGGGTGCTGGAGTTGTCACCTCCATCGGCGGCTCGCTCTACACCGTCGCCACGGGGGAGCTCCCGAAAAAGTACGTCGTGCTCGTCTGTCCCCTCGTTGTGCCTTCTTAGTCTGAATGGTCTCATTGTGCTCCCCGCCACTAGCACGCAAACCGGGAACGCCGCTCTGGGCGTGCACGCATTCTCCATCTCTGCACCTTTGCTCGGTGGACTGCTCACGGTGCTATCTGGCATCTTCATGGGAGCCTGGGTTGTACTCTGAACATGAGCACGAATTGATACGGTACAGCTCATATAATGTCAGGAGCACTATCTTGAACCAAGGCTGTCGCAAATACTACAGAATACCTATTGCGCGTAGTCCCTACGTTCGCCTAGGGGCCCTAACGCCAGCGTGTACATATAGGCTTGTAGACGAATGTGAGGCGCAATGTTGAGTTATAGTTCGGTGAAACAAGAAAAAAACTCGGATAAAAGTGAATGATGAGAGTGGGATTCGAACCCACGCCCTTTCGGACCAGATGTCGTAAGCCACAGTTCAAATACTTAGACTCCTTAGTCTGGCGCCTTAGACCGCTCGGCCATCTCACCATGTGTACGTAGTCCCATCAGCGTTATATAATGCGCTCACCTTACAAATAGATCCAAACTGGCGCGCGTTGTATACAAGGTGCCAAGTGCATGCCAAGTCTACTGAGGACAGTCTGAGGTCAATCACTAGTCGTCACCGAACATGATCTTGAGGTTCTCTATGCTCTCTGGATCACTATCACGTTTGCCCTTGAAGGCCTCCGTGACGATAGCGGTCTTCCGTTTCTGTATCTGCAATATGCGGCCTTCGATCGTGCCAGACACCTGACGGGAGCAACGACGTGTATTAGTATATTAGTGAAGAAATGTGCGAACAGGCAGCATATGACCGCGTACGATGAAGTGAGTCACGTAGACCGTCTTCACCTGTCCGATACGGTGAACACGGTCGATAGCTGCGAGCAGCGATCAGCGTACGCTAGGTCCAAAATATGGAACGAATACAAACCTTGATTCTCTGTCGCTGCATTCCACCAGCAGTCCATCTATAATGCCAGTTAGTATGTCACCTGAAGGCCGCAGGCAAAGCTTTGGTACTTGCCATGAAAACGTGATTGGCGGTGGTCAGCTGGTGAGCCAGGGAAACCTGAGTAGTCATCCCGAGCAAACGTCATAGAGAACGCACGTTCAATCCGACTCCGCCGGCCTTCAGACTAATGATCATGACTTTTGCATCGCGAGAGGGAGCCTTAAAGCCCGATACAGCCTCATTGCGCTTCTTGATATCCATAGAGCCGTCAAACCGGAACCATGGAAGGTTTTCGCGCTCCAACATGGCCTGGATGAGATCGAGGAACGATGTGAACTGGGAGAACACGACTGCGCGGAAGCACGGGTCCTGATCTCTCAACCGTCCTTGATGGGGATACGAGGTCTCAGCGAAGTCATAACGGCATAGTGATAGAAAGGCACCTACGAAGACGTTGGACAAGAGCCTCAAGTTTGGTCGAGGAGCGGAAGTCGTTCCGCCTCAACATGACCGTCGACGACGATGGCTGGGAGTCGTCGCCTGCTTTGTCTCCATTGGAGTAGTCTCCTGTGTTCTGCTTGGTACGCACTATCTCAAGCAAGTCGCTTTCCTGCAGTTCGCCATCAACACATAGTCGTGTAGTCTTGTGCAAACACCTACCTTCACGGGGCCACGGGAACATGTCGGACACTTGCCGTCTTCGTCCTTCTCTCGACACTTCTCTATGAACGCAATTATGCAGTCTTTGCAACTACGGAAGGAGCCGCCAATGTCTGTTAACATTACTGCTGAAACCGGTCATGCTAAGGGCGTACCACTGGTGCATGCAATCTGGAAGGATTATCGGGGTCTCCATCACGTCAAAACAAATAGGACATTCCGCATCCTCCTCCTGCCCGAGGTTTGCCAATACTCCTTCAGCATATACGTTGTTGTCGCCCGCTGTGTTCTCGCCCTCGCCGAAACGTTTGATGAGATCCTGAATATCGACCGTACCGCTACTACTTGGTGCTGCCTTGGACCGTACGGCGTTGTCGTTGTTCGTCAGCACTAGGTTGGGATGTAGCACAGCGCGTCGGAGCCTGGTACACGTCGGTCAGCACCGACGCACCTTACGCATAGGCAATTCACGACATACCGCATGAGCATCGCAAGAATGTGCGTATAGTTACGACTGACAAGACCCTTCTCCGTTAGGTGCTCGAAATCCTTCTTTGCATCCGAGTAGAGTGAGTCGTAGATCTTGCGCTCCAGTGGTGAGAATTCCAAGTGTTCGATGGTCACCTGTTGCACTCTGGTCAGCGCTGCCCGACCGTCCTGTAGTAGACGGAGATACACCTCTTTCGGAGGCAATTGTACGATTCTCTTGCCATCAGAGTCTAACATGTCTTTCTCGCGTCGCAAGAGGACGCTCTCCAGGATAATTTGGACAACCTCGACGGCTTTGCGATCCCGTGCGAGGAAAGGCAGAGTGATGAATCTGCGTGCAAGGCGTAAACGAGCAGTACAATGGCGGTCAGTGTTACACTCACGAGCGGAAGAACGTGTAGTTCGACCAAGGCGTGAAGTCCAGGAACTTCCTGCAGGCAAAATCAGTAGCTTGCCATATAGACTTACAGAACTAACGACTTGCAAGAGAGAATATAGGTCCTCTAGACGATTGACAATTGGTGTGCCAGTGACAGCCCAACGCCTTCGCGCACGAAGAGCGCATACAGCCTTCGCAGTCTTGCTATTTCGAGACTTGCAATGATGAGCTTCGTCTAGCACGACCCCTGCAACATGGTTAGTCATTGCCCTGCACGGCTCACGTAAAGCGTGACTCACGAAGCCAATCGACTGTATAATTGCAGATTGTTAGCCACTGATTCGGAACCTCAGAAGGGCACGGAACTCACTTTCGAAGACAGACGACGATTGTTTCTCGTGTTTGGCATGCTCCGATACCAAAGTCCCATACGACGTGATCACAACTGTGATGACGGTATCGTTGTCCATTGCGGAGTCAAGCTCCAACCTATTCTGCCCGTGCCATACGAGAACCTTGAAGGTGTCCGGCTTGCTCGATCGCTGCAGCTCTTCCGCCCACTGGGCGAGGAGAGAAGTTGGTGCGACGATCAATGTCGCGGCAGGACCTTTACGCTGTTGCTGAGCGTGGGACTTTGGAACGACGCGGAAGACATTGTTGAGCCTGAGTTGCTTCGCCTTAGAAGGAGCGGCGGGTTCGACATCAGCGACTGGCTCAGGAGCACGAGCGGTTTGTATAAGTGCTGAGAGCATGATTGTCTTGCCCATACCCACTGTAAGATGTGTCAGCTCCTGTCGCCCCAAGCATCGTGTAGCACGTACTCTCTGTGGAATGATACCAGCAGAAGATAAGTTGTCAGTCGAAGAGATAGCATACAGACATTGAAGAAATATCACCGTCGCTGAAAAATAGTGAATCAGTAGGAATTGGAGAGCATATATTCGATCAAACTCACGCAAGTATTCCTCCCTTGCATTTTCTCTCTGCCTTGGGGAACTCCAGACTGAGCTCGCCCGAATATTCATTAAAGTAAAATGATCGCTCGTCGGCAGTCAGATCTATCATGTCACTGTTTGGGTCGAGCGGAAAGACATATCTTGAACGAGCATGAGATGTTTGTAAACGATAACAAATTAGAAGATGAAAACTCACTCCTTCCACAACGGATGCATAGATTGAGCCTCGCGTGCAGAAGATGCTCCTGTCTCAATGGAATGCATCCATCTTGTAGTCCGTCAACATATGTCCAACGTATCGACACTAATGATAATCACGTACAACAAAGCTTGCTTCTGATAGCCTCGAAGTTGAAGCGTGAATGTATCTGTCGGTTCCATTTCTCCAAGTTTGCTATCGTTCTCCTGAGCTCTGTCGACCGCTTATCATCTCGTATGCGCATCGTGTGCTGAGATCAAGAACATACTTCTTGTAGATGAGGTTTATCTGTTCCTCTGTAACGTCTCCCTCTCCGTCGTCATCGTCAGCATTGCCCGAAGATCCCGATGCCACCTGCTTAGCGGTTGCACCAGGGCGCTGCGTCAATAGTTCTAGATCCTGTTGGTTCAGCTTGCCGCCGTTCGGAACACCGTTACTCTTGCGAGGCTTCAGGTTGATTCGCTTAAACAAGTTGATGAGCGAGCGCTTTCGTTCCCTGAGGATTTGTTCCGCCTCTGTTTCTTGTCCCTCGTTAAACATTGCCTTAGTAGCATTGTCCTCTGAGGATAACTTGGGCGGACGAAAGGCCGAAGGCTTCATATAAACGGACAATGAGAGAATCAAGTCCGCGCCTGTCGAAAGCTTGGCCGGACATTCCACCACCGTGCACTTCCGGAACTCCACAATATCTGCGCACTTCGTACTCAGAGAGATAGGAGTATGGGCAGAGAGCGACCTACCAAGATCCAATAACCGGGATACCCATGATGCGACGTCTTGTGGTAAACGACCGAACTCTGGTACATCATCAGCGTCGTCGCCACGTTACTGTGACAGAATCACAAACCAAATCCTCTCGAGTTGGTGATACGGACCACAGTATCCTGCTTCTTCTTTGAAGTAGGCTTGGACGGTGCAGGCTTCAGCATGTTCGCGATGGTAAGCTGCTTCTTCCCGTCCTTCCCTTTCTCCTTCTTAGCCGCTTTTTGAGGAGGAGGCGGCTTCTTGTGCTCATCGCGTTCTATTCGAATCTCATCACCTGATTTAATGTAGCCAGTGCCTTTCACCGTGCTCCAAGCGTTGTCGACAAGGAAGTATCCGAGATACATTGAGTCCGATTCCAAGGGAACAGCATGCGAGACAGGGGAGACCTTGCGTCGCTTCAAAGGAGGTCCCTCAGAGTGCTTGGATTCAGGAGGAGGTGAAGGGGACGACGGGTGTGAGTCGTGTAGTCCTGAAGACGTACTCGATGGGCTTGAAGTTCGAGGTACGTCGACGAACTCGGGCATTTCCACGTCTAGGTTTATGAGTGCGTCATCTTCGATATCCACTGTCTCCGTGATGCCTGCGCGTTTATAGTGTGCAGGCTCCTCCTCATCGCTGTCGGCGAAGAAAAGCGGTCGTTGGATGGGAGAACGCGGGCAGTCAAGAGTAGTGTCTGTCGTGTCCACCGTGACTGCTATATCTTCCATGGTTTCGTCGACATTTTCAGTTGTCGTCGGAGTGTCTTCATCGTCAGAGCCAGCAAAAAACATTGAGCGTTCGTCGTCAATAGCCATGACGAGCGAGAGTCTGGGACAGGGCCGCCGGGGGGATAGCAGAGATTTGTCCGACGCGTCGAGTCGCGTCGATGATATTGCAGCCACAGACGCGGGCCCGACGCGTCAACATAACCAAACACCGGCAGCGACCGACTTGTGTCCCTGATAAGAAAGTCACTCCCACGGTAACTGAAGCACTTTCGGAATTCAATCGAAGTAGCGGATCGCAGGACTCTACTTCATCTCTTGCCTCTCTTTTTTCCTCCTTCGTCATTCAAAATGCAGCGGGGACTTCCCATGGTATGCC